CTCTCTCTCTCGCATTCCTATCCAAGAATTATATATTTCTTAATAATTATCAAAATTCAAGTCATGAAACATAAGACAAACTCATGAGAATAGATAATGGGATGTCTATACTATATGTTTGTACGACTAGTGCTTCCCATCTGTTCACCAGTTAGTGAAGAATAACTGTTATCTCAAAAATAGACTCAAGAATTGTCTTTAGTTTTAAAGTCTATAAAGAATTTTCCGTAAATAAATACTTTAAAAAACACTTTCAATGCATTAAATCGTGATTTTATGGCTATTTTATCCACAAATACGATACACAATATGTTTTCAATTGATTTCAATTACTAAACAATAATTATAATTATAAACATATTTGAATAAAAAGTTAATTTATTGTTCAAATTTTTTGTATCGTTTAAAACATTCATAAAAACTAAATGAAAGTCAGAATTAAATATAAATCAAGAAAAACAACTAAAACTAAGCGATAAATAATTTTACAAAAACAAATAATACAAATGCAATGACAATGAGAGCGCTTGGAATGGAGGGAACGGGTGGGCCAGTAGTGGTCGATTTGCCGGACAGTGGTTTAGTGGTACTAACGGTGTTGAGTACGACCGCCGGACTGGGCGAAGGGGTTGTGACGGCGATGGGCTCGAAGACAGCTTTGGGATCGCATTCAAGCATTTGGACGCAATCACCCGACCCTTTGTTTGTATTACTAGAGCACTGATCGGCGGTACAATTGGCCTTCAGTTGATCACTCAGTTGTCTATATCGCGAACCACCGCCTTCTGTCCACTCCGTACAGTTCACACGATACTAATGGGTTGGGAAATGAGTGTTAAGTTAGTGATAGCACCGGTAGTGTCAATAGATTTTCACTCATTTTATTACCAGTTTATGATAAACGCAGTATTTATCGGATAAATGACAACACGTTGAGATGGGATCAAACTTTTGCGCCCACTTTTCGTCCACACATTTGCGCGCTTCTAAGAGTCCATTAGTGACGGCCTTTAACTGGTTGTCCGTACAGACAAAGCCACTCTTCTCCGGGTCTCTCGCTGTCGGTTTCCGATTACTAATACTCAGCCCTAACTGACAGCCCGTTGTCGTCAACACTATTAATACAAACACTGTCTCACAATTCATCTGATGGTTAGACAAAGAATTTATCAATAAATTTGATTTTTATGTTAAATGATTGCCAATTCAAACGGTCTGTCAATATAATTGTATTATTTTTGTTTGAGTTATTTATAAATTAAAAGTAAAAGAGATTTAAATTCAAACGATAATTACTATTTAACAATTAACTGTTAGTGACAATTGTAAACTTATTATCAAATTGTGGTATATTTTCAATCACGTTCTCCTTATGTATTTCAACAATCAATTTAAGGCTTGTTTTGCATCAATGATAGGTTTTAAACTCAATTCAATTACAGACTTTAAAACCCTATATATAGAGAATTTCAATAAAATTCAATTCAATTCTACACAAAGTTAAACTAAATTTTAAATCCTGTTTAAGTCTATTACTTAATCCCTAAGTGTTCAAAATACTGAATAAGTTAAACAATACAATGCTTTTGCATTCATTATTATGCAAAGGATTGGAAACATAATTATTCATTAGGAGATCAAGTATTCAATTAAAAATTCAAAAATAGATTTTAAAAATAGATTTTAAAAATAATTTCTTTAAGCATTAGTTCCAGAATTTCTAACTAAATAAATATCATTATTGTTTTATATAATTTAATTAAATTAGTTTCTATGCAATCAATACTTACAAATCAATAATAGCTTTACGTATAAAACATTTTATTTGAAACGATAACTAAATGTAAATAAATTTGTCATAAAATTTGGATTCAATACAAGAGATGCAAAAAAAGAGATGAATCGATGGCTAAAACTAATGAAACGAGTGATCAGTTCTTAATCAAATTGTTTCGCTTGAATGTGTGATAACTGTCCACATCTTTGGCCAACTCGTCGATGAGTTTCATCAGCTGTGGATCGTATCTGCGGATCAAATCATAACAAAGACAATCAATTAAAGGCATTCAACAGTAATATCAATGAGTGGTAAACCAAACACAAGACATACTCGTTGTGGAGGACATTGATGTTGACAAAAGTCTGGGCCAAACACAAGAGCCGATCCAAAGGGTATTTGGATTTGTGTTGCAAAATGAAGTCCCGCCGTAAGACCCAGTGGTCTTTGATTTCCCACGACTTGCGCAACTCATCCACTTCTTCTTCGGTCAGACCACTGTTGTATTCATCGGTTCCCGCGATGGCCGACACCTCACACGACTCCACCTCTTCTTCGGCGCTCATCTCTCCGTCCTGTCTCTCCTCTTTGTGGTGATGTCTGTCCTCTCACTGTATGTCTCTCTCTTCGGGTGACCACAAGATGTGAATCAATGTCCAAACGAAACGATCGCTTAAATGATTGCAACAATTAATTCACAATTAGTTTTTGAATTCAATTCACGTTTTATTTGTGGTATTGTTTTGAACGCGAGATTTAAGCCGACAGTCAGTCCACTGAATACAACACTAGTGTTCGCACAAACGCTGTGCGCGAGTGAGTGGGAGAGTGACTGCCATCTGACGCGAGCTATAGGTATGGCAAACATGTGAACACAATTCAACACTATTTTCAAATAACATACACTCTGTTTGTGAATGCATTCAAAACACGTGTTTTTCAGTTTGCAATTCAATACACACTTGTGTTGAGACNTCTCTCTCTCTCTCTCTCTCGCATTCCTATCCAAGAATTATATATTTCTTAATAATTATCAAAATTCAAGTCATGAAACATAAGACAAACTCATGAGAATAGATAATGGGATGTCTATACTATATGTTTGTACGACTAGTGCTTCCCATCTGTTCACCAGTTAGTGAAGAATAACTGTTATCTCAAAAATAGACTCAAGAATTGTCTTTAGTTTTAAAGTCTATAAAGAATTTTACGTAAATAAATACTTTAATAAACACTTTCAATGCATTAAATCGTAATTTGATGGCTATTTTATCCACAAATACGATACACAATATGTTTTCAATTGATTTCAATTACTAAACAATAATTATAATTATAAACATATTTGAATAAAAAGTTAATTTATTGTTCAAATTTTTTGTATCGTTTAAAACATTCATAAAAACTAAATGAAAGCCAGAATTAAATATAAATCAAGAAAAACAACTAAAACTAAGCGATAAATAATTTTACAAAAACAAATAATACAAATGCAATGACAATGAGAGGCATTGGAATGGAGGGCACGGGTGGGCCAGTAGTGGCCGATTTGCCGGACAGTGGTTTAGGGGTACTAACAGTGTTGAGTACGACCGCCGGACTGGGCGTAGGGGTTGTGACGGCGATGGGCTCGAAGACAGCTTTGGGATCGCATTCAAGCATTTGGACGCAATCACCCGACCCTTTGTTTGTATTACTAGAGCACTGATCGGCGGTACAATTGGCCTTCAGTTGATCCCGCAGTTGTCTATATCGAGAACCACCGCCTTCTGTCCACTCCGTACAGTTCACACGATACTAATGGGTTGGGAAATGAGTGTTAAGTTAGTGATAGCACCGGTAGTGTCAATAGATTTTCACTGATTTTATTACCAGTTTATGATAAACGCAGTCAGACAAATGACAACACGTTGAGATGGGATCAAACTTTTGCGCCCACTTTTCGTCCACACATTTGCGCGCTTCTAAGAGTCCATTAGTAACGGCCTTCAACTGGTTGTCCGTACAGACAAAGCCACTCTTCTCCGGGTCTCTCGCTGTCGGTTTCCGAGCACTACTACTCAGCCCTAACTGACAGCCCGTTGTCGTCAACACTATTAATACAAACACTGTCTGACAATTCATCTGATGGTTAGACAAAGAATTCATCAATAAATTTGATTTTTATGTTAAATGATTGCCAATTCAAACGGTCTGTCAATATAATTGTGTTATTTTTGTTTGAGTTATTTATAAATTAAAAGTAATGAAATGAAAAAGATTTAAATTCAAACGACAATTAATATTTAACAATTAACTTTTAGTGACGTTACAATTGTGAATTGATTATCAAATTGTGGTATATTTTCAATCACGTTCTACTTATGTATTTCAACAATCAATTTAAGGCTTGTTTTGCATCAATGATAGGTTTCAAACTCAATTCAATTACAGACTTTAAAACCCTATATACAGAGAATTTCAGTTTTGAAAATTAAACTAATTTTTAAATCCTGTTTAAGTCTATTACTTAATTCCTGTGTTTAAAATACTGAATGAGTTAAACAATACAATGCTTTTGTGTTCATTATTATGCAAAGCATTGGAAACATAATTATTCATTAGGAGATCAAGTATTCAATTAAAAATTCAAAAATATAATAGATTTTAAAAATAATTTCTTTAAGCATTAGTTCCAGAATTGCTAACTAAATAAATATAATTATTGTTTTAAACAATTTAATTAAATTAGTTTCTATGCAATCAATACTTACAAATCAATAATAGCTTTACGTATAAAACATTTTATTTGAAACGATAACTAAATGTAAATAAATTTGTCGTAAAATTTGGATTCAATACAAGAGATGCGAAAAATACATGAATCGATGGCTAAAACTAATGAAACGAGTGATCAGTTTTTAATCAAATTGTTTCGTTTGAATGTGTGATAACTGTCCACATCTTTTGCCAAATCGTCAATGAGTTTCATCAGCTGTGGATCGTATCTGCGGATCAAATCATAACAAAGACAATCAATTAAAGGCATTCAACGGTAATATCATTGAGTGGTAAACAAAACACATACTCGTTGTGGAGGACATTGATGTTGACAAAAGTCTGGGCCAAACACAAGAGCCGATCCAAAGGGTATTTGGATTTGTGTTGCAAAATGAAGTCTCGCCTTAAGACCCAATGATCTTTGATTTCCCACGACTTGCGCAACTCATCCACTTCCTCTTCGGTCAGACCACTGTTGTATTCATCGGTTCCCGAAATGGCCGACACCTCACTCGACTCCACCTCTTCTTCGGCGCTCATCTCTGTCTCCTGTCTCTCCTCTTTGCAGTGATGTCTGTCCTCTCACTGTATGTCTCTCTCTCTCTCTCTTCGGGTGACCACAAGATGTGAATCGATGTCCAAACGAAACGATCGCCAAATGATTGCAACAATTAATTCACAATTAGTTTTTGAATTCAATTCACGTTTTGTTGTATTGTTTTCAACGAGAGATTTAAGCCGACAGTCAGTCACTGAATACAACACTAGTGTTCGCACAAACGCTGTGCGCGAGTGAGTGGGAGAGTGACTGCCATCTGACGCGAGCTATAGGTATGGCAAACATGTGAACACAATTCAACACTATTTTCAAATAACATACACTCTGTTTGTGAATGCATTCAAAACACGTGTTTTTCAGTTTGCAATTCAATACACACTTGTGTTGAGACACATCTCTTGTGGTTATCATTTGAAACGAGTCTTTAATCGCGATTAAAGACTTGACAATCGGTTTAATTGTCGCCTAAATCTTCATTTGGATTCACTGCCCGATAAGCGATGGGAAGACCAGGTATTGTCTCACATGTCTTCACTTGTGTTGTGTTTTATTAAAAGCCATGCTTTCCATCACATCCATAGGTTTCAGTCCACGCGGGGGTGGCTTTAGAGGCGGCGGACGCGGCGGCGGTGGCCGAGGAGGTGGTGGTCGCGGGGGAGGCGGCGGTGATGGCGGCGACGGGTGTTTCAAATGCGGCCAAAGCGGCCACTTTTCCAGAGAGTGTCCCACCGGTGGAGGCGGAGGAAGAGGTGGTGGAAGAGGAGGAGGAGGTGGTGGAGGCGGCGGCGGTTGCTTCAAGTGCGGCCAAGAGGGCCACTTCTCCCGTGAGTGCCCCACCGGTGGTGGCGGTGGAGGAGGCGGTGGTGGCAGCGGATGCTTTAAGTGCGGACAAGAGGGGCATATGTCTCGCGAGTGCCCTCAAGGCGGCGGCGGAGGCTTTCGGTAAGTGTTGATTACTTTTTTTGTTTATATCGTTATTTAACGAGCGGTTTGTCTGTGATATGATAGCGGCGGAAGAGGCGGTACACCACGTGGTGGTCGCGGCGGTGGCCGCGGAGGCAGAGGTGGTTTTGGTGACAGAGGCGGCGGTAGAGGTGGTCGCGGAGGCCGTGGTGGAGGTCGAGGCGCCGGTGGCGGACGCGGAGGTTTCAGAGGCGGCAAGAAAACGATTGTCGAACCCCATCAACGTCTGGACGGTGTGTTCATCTCCAGAGGCAAAGAGGACGCTCTGGTGACCAAAAACTTAGTGCCCGGAGAGTCGGTGTACGGCGAGAAGAGAGTGTCCATCGATGACGAGGCCGGAAAAGTTGAGTACAGAGTGTGGAATCCGTTTCGATCCAAACTCGGAGCAGCCATTCTCGGCGGTGTCGAAGACATTCACATCACTCCCGGCTGTAAAGTGCTGTATTTGGGCGCCGCGTCCGGCACTACAGTCTCCCACGTGTCCGATATTGTCGGACCCGAAGGCCGCGTATACGCCGTCGAGTTCTCTCACCGTTCGGGTCGAGGTATGTCTTGAGAGTTTGCAGGTCTGGTGTGTGTTCTCGTCGATACTGATTGTATGTTTGTATTGTTGATGACTAGACCTGTTAGGTGTGGCCCAAAAGCGGCCCAACATTGTGCCCATCATCGAAGACGCGCGACACCCGCATAAGTACCGAATGGTGATGTCGATGGTGGACACGATCTTCGCCGATGTGGCCCAACCAGATCAGGCGCGTATCGTTACCCTTAACGCTCAGCATTTCCTTAAGATTGGCGGACATGTCGTCATCTCTATTAAGGTTTGTGTCTTATTTTTTGGTCTTAATATTGACTGATTTTTAATTGTTTTGTTTGCTTTTGTTATGTACTTCAGGCCAATTGTATTGACTCGACGGCACCGGCAGAGGCTGTGTTCGCACAGGAGGTTAAGAAATTAGTTGAGGATAAAGTGAAACCTCTAGAACAGGTCACTCTCGAGCCCTACGAGAGAGACCACGCGGTCGTTGTCGGCATATTTAGGT